TTACTTTCTTAAATTCTATGCTTTACTGACACACTGATGTTTAGCAAATAAGTATACCCACTCCCAAATAAAATAAGTGATATGAGCAATGTGATAAATTTTACTATATTCTTACAAAGGTAGTAGTCATAGCAGTTTTAGGAAAACGCGATAGAGGATTTTCTGAACTTATCCCGGAAAACAGTCTTCCATCCAATTCATGTCAGTTATTTATAAAGGTTCTTTTGAGTATACTACAGATAGCCTTAAATAGCCTGTATAGCCAAATAAATCACCAAAACAATGCTGCTAGTCTTCTTAACCGATGATGGCCTCAATGGACTAACTGAACCCATTCTAGCTGTAGGTGATTAGTCACACAACCGTACGAGATCGTAATTGTGTAAGCCATGCTAACCATCCTTCGTAGCCACTAGTCACTCTGATCACAAAAATTCTGGACATACGCGTTATCATCTGAATGTATCTTCCACCTCTTTCTGGTCCGTAATTTGGACTAGGAAATTCGGGTCAAATGGCATTCTTCCATGTACATTATTAGTAGCAGAACTGTAAGAGAAGTTAGAACGAAAGTAATTACCCAAAGAACAATAATTTTATGCACAATGTGTGCTCCACTACTATTCCCGCCTAAAGTGTTAAAAATATTTTAGTGTAGCGTTGTTTTGGAAACTTCTCTGTTTTTAACTCGTTAAGGTTGCTCAGCCTTTGCTCACTTTCCCTTCATGATAGGGGCTTGGGACCGGCGGCTGCCATAGAAGACCTTACGGCGAAATTAACAGGCTTAAATTAACAATGTATTGATTAACGAACACTGGACGCTGTTTATTAGTAACAATTTATTTCTGACTTGACATGTGCGCACCATATTTACTGTATTAATCAATAATTGGCAACATTGGTTTGTGAATGGAGTATTGACCAAAAACAGTTATTAGATAGGATAAATCAATTAAATTACATTGCAAAATATTCTTGTACATATAAAAACTGGAAGTTTGTGTTAGAAACTAAGTGAAATGTAACAAAGCTGAAAGTACTTGAACTAAAGGAATACAAGGTGAAGAGTAGAGCTTAAAAAATGCAGATAAAAACGAAGTAACGTCAGAAACCTTAATTCCTTAGATACCCAAGAAACTCTATCATGATAGGATTCTTATCTGTCAGTTTTTATGATAGTGATCACTGGTCAACGCATAGTTTACCTGACAAACTGTTCTGCCTCACGGACATAGGGGCATCAAATCCAATTATCTCACCTCCAAGTTTTTAAAAATTTGCTGAGGCTGCTGTAGTGAATCCACTTTTATGAAGAGAACGCGATTAGTTTCATAGAAACATTCATTACTGTAACCAATTGTGCCAGTGTACGTTAACTGTACTTCTTATTTATAGCTCTCTTTTATGCGCAGACCTTACTTTTGTGTTGCTGAAATTTTTTGCTTTATAGCTCTGTAAATTTGCCCCAATTTCGTGGCACGATTTTGGCGTTCTTTAGACATCACAAAATCGCCAGAAAATATAATCCCTACCATGAGTTTATTTATCTTCTCTGTGAGGGGTTAGTAATTAGTATTTAGTGGTGATCATAGTCAGTCTCGACCCGATCACCCCTAAATTATGAACGTATTGTTTTACGACCGGTAGCACCATTTTCTACACATGCAAAATGTACGTAGTCCTTGGTATACGGCGATTTTTGAAAATATTTATTATTGATGAACTTCTTTTCCTCCTTGCAACACAGTTTTAGGACTTTGCCTTCAGTATAGCCAACCAACTGACTGAGATGGACATATAGACAACCATTCTTAAACAAAAAGAAAATGTTGGTGTGTTATATCTTGTGTCTTTATAACTTTTTATGGGGTCAAATATATGTCTCATCAATAAGCTCAAACTGTTAGTTATGAAGTAACCTTTGATAAACCGGGTGACTTCGTAAGCAAAAAGTCGACTTCTCAAGGCCAGGGTCAACTTTAATCTTTCTCGGGTTGTAGAAAGTGCTGGTAGGTTATTGATTGTTCAGTTCAAGGATCAGCTCTTCTTATGACTCATACAAATGACCTTCCTCAATAATTATGGTCTGGGTTATTATCTTACACTCAAGGTTTTAAATATTGAGTTTTATCCAAAAACCATAAGCTGGTTCTTCAGGAGGATCTAACTCGACTTTATAGTTTGGCTATAATTAACTGACCTATCTTTAACACTTCAAAATGCAGAGTAATCCAACCGGAACGTGCTGCGAGCCAAGAGTATAACTTGAGTAACTGTTCTGTAGAGGTGTCCCATGCTGAAAAAGATCAAGGAGTCTTGGTACTCTGTGGTCAGAAATTCTACGCCAACTGTAACAAAAACACCTCTTGAGCAAAATTCTGATTGCCGATAACATTTGAAACACTCCTAGGCATCCCCTGAAATATATACTTAAGTTCAGTTTCAACACAAACCTTATGGGTAATAACTAGAAACTACCGCGCAAAATACTAAGATCGACTACGAACACATCTTCTAAATTTTACAGGAAGTAAAGTTCCTGTATTAGCATTCGACTGAGTTAGTAAAATCGGCTTCTTTGGTCCTTCAAAATTAAACTTCACATTTTTAAGCACTCCGGAATATATTTCCCTATGTTTCACTGATGTTACTATTCGACCCATTAAATATACCCGTTTTCCTACTTATAGGCATCGGCGATTGACTTATACGAGATATAGAAGCCCATTATTCAGAGCTTCAGCCATTGTGTACACGATCAATGGAAATATTTTAAAGCGTCCAATTTCAGTTGAAGCTAGCCGCCAAAATAGAGGCAAACCCGAAAAATATGTTTAGGTTCATGTCCAAAAGAAAACCTACCAATCAAGGGTTGTGTTCTCTCGAAGGACCAAACGGGGAAGACCTCACCAACCTAGAGATGGTTGATATCTTCAACATCAATTTTTCTGATCAATTAAACCAGGCGCGTACATGTTCGTAGTGTTACGCCAACCCAATGCCAGCTGACGGCTTAGAGAACATCCGTATCACTCCGGACCTAGTATTAATGAAACTAAAAGTCATACGCGCGGGTAAGTCGCTAGGTTGTGTCAAAATCCGCCCCATAGTCTTGCAACATTGCGCTGAAGTCCTCTGTTCACCGTTATGCAACCTGTTTCAGGCATTCATTGGAGTCACACCAATTCCCAGCAGGATGAAAACAAGCTACTCGCTCTCTAATCTTCAAAGGAGGAGATAGAAAGGACCCCGCCTGTTACAGACCAGTCGCACTACTACATATATTATCAAAGGTTATGGAGGGGCTAGTGAACGAACAAATGAGGGAGTACATGGATAAGAATAAAATATTCCATTAAGCTCAAAAAGAGTTTCGGAAAGGCAGGTCGTGTGCATCTAATCTTCTGATGGTATTGGAAAGTTGGACATCCTGTTTAGACCGTAAAATAACGGTACACGTAATATTACTCAACTTTGCAAAGGCATTTGACACAGTGCCCCGCGCACGGCTAACAGAAAAGGTTGTGGAAATGAGCTTCACTGACCCACTCGTATCTTGGCTCAGAAACTGCCTTGAGAATAGAAAGTTTCGCACCAACGTAAACAGAGTGCACACGAATTGGCGAGTATCCACATCGGGAGTTTCACAGGGGACCATCCTAGGCCCACTCCTCTTCCTGATATTCATTAACGACCTGCTAGGCTCAGTTAGCTCACCGGCATTGATCTACGCAGACGATGCGAAGATCTGGAGGTCCATTAGAAGCAAAGAGGATTCAGCTGAGCTTCAAGAGGACCTTACATCTTTTGAGAAATGGGCGGTGAAAAATGGTTTGAAACTCAACCAACCGAACTGCCACCCCATGCATATTCTGCCTCACATGACGCAAACGATCTATACCCTCAATGGAAGTCCGCTCCCTAATGTCTCCTCAGAGCGCGATCTTGGTTTAATAACCACAGATAGCCTCCACACCAGTCCTAACTATGTAGAGGATGCAGCCAAGGCAAATACGACTCTTCGCTTTATGCGAAGACAGCTTGGTGCTATCACCCCGCAATTATTTTAAACCCTGTTTAAGACGTACGCGCGCCCTCACTTGAAGGTTCACAATGTCATCGCACCTCCTCTGCTTAAAAGAGACATAAATCTCTTGGATCGAGTTCAGAGGCGATCAACCAAATGGGTGATAGGGTTGAAACATAAACCGTACGACGATAGACCCCAGCTCTCGGGATTATTTCCACTGAGCTACAGGAGAATCAGAGGTGATCTGATTATAGCGCACACCATCTTCGAAAGATTGCACATCGAAGAGCGAATATTCAGATTCGTGCACACTTTTTCTGATTGCGAGTCGTCGCAAATTGGAATGCTCTCCCAGCCGAGGTAGTTACAACCTCCTCAGTGGACTGCTTTAAGAGGGGACTTGGTAATCACGTACTCACATACGTACTATCATCTCTCTCTTGGACAAGCTGTGCCCGGTGCATATCTTGAGACCTGCTAGTTGTTACCATTGCCATCTCCTCAGATCACTCAATTAATCTATCTCGCCTATTATCTCTGTTTTCTCCCCCTTGCTTACACTTCGGTCCTCTCTCACAATCTTCACTACCAATTAACAAACTGAACTCACCTATATATTACTCAGTTCTGAAATTTTATTCATATTAGCACTACAATTTAATCCTTATTACCCTTATTACTCTCCAAATTGCAACTAACTGATCTCCGGTTTGATAATGTGACGGCTGCTAGTTTCCACAAACCCTACTGCCCTGAAACAAACGTTACATTCAAATCCCGAGACATACAAACTCACAACCAACTGCCAACTGACTAGAATTAGACAGTCGAATGGCTAGACCTCCGTCCATTGGACGTTACCGAACACCTGGAACCGTAAGAACAAGAATCGAGCGCGAAGAAATCAAATTGGTTTACAATAGCTCATGAAAAAGATATTGGATATTGTATTTTTGACCCGGAAATTTCGATGTTCTCGTTACTATCGTTTGCACGATATCCATTAAGAATTAGAACATTGTTGTCATTTTCGCGGTTCTTCAGTACTCAGACAAAGAAATGGTACTTATTTTTCTTATTCACATTGTGATGAAGATAAAGCGTGAATATTACATTCGCTTGGAATGATGGACGTAAAAAGACCGTACCCGCAAAATTAGGTGACAACCTATTGGACATTGTTTTGGATAATGATGTTGATATAGACGGATTTGGTACGTCTCTCTGCATATTTTATGTCGTATCTAGGTGCTTGTGAAGGTACATTGGCATGCTCAACTTGCCATCTCATATTTGCAAAGAAAGATTTTGACAATTTACATGATCCCTTAACAGAGGAAGAGCAAGATATGTTGGATTTAGCCTATGGCTTAACTGACACGTAAGTTTATCATTCTTCCAAAAGTATATAGGTAAAGCTGAAAAATTTATATATAATCTTTTTTTCCAAACTGTGCGCTAGGCAAGCAGATGTTGACCTCCTTCATCTAATTTAAAAATATCCAACTAGCGATAACTTTACATACACTATATAGTAACTTCCGAATTGTCGCTTTAAAATAATGGGACCCCATAAATTAAGAATTTAGTGTCCACGTCCATCGATATATATATATTGCTGTCTTAGTACCTCGTATATGTATCGAATGATTTTTAAGCAAAAGTTTCTCAATATGCTTTCAATAACCCTTAGTTTAATTTGATGGATTTTGTTATCTTTCATCTCTGTGTTGATCCGATATAATATAAACTGATGCAAAATTATACCTAAACCGAGTGAAAAATCTAAAAGTACATCAATAATCTTTATTTCCGGTCTCAGCGTGAGATATGTTTTAGGGAACTGAGTATGTCTGAATGAACATATGGTGCTGCCTATTTTTATGATATAATCTGCGTATCTGATCAACTACATGTATATATCAGCAATGAACTTGTACTGAGATCATACTAGGATAGGATATAAGTAAATTACTAAACTTCAATCATTCATTACTTCTCAGAATTAGCAGTTGAGAAAATCTGTAACTCACATAGATGATCATGGTGCACCTTCCTACTCTGAACTGGATGTTTCGGTTGTGGAGCTTCCATTGTTCTTCTGAACAACGTCACCAGCACAAACTTCAGATGAAAGTGAAGTATTCGGACCTCTCCACGTTTGACCCGTAGCTTGTTCTGTTAATCTCGATCTTGATTGGCTGCTATTGGTAGCAAACCTGTCGTTGTTTGCACCTTTGTTTTGATTGTATCCCCCTTCGATCCTATATTTGCCTATGATTTTTCTGTTTGGTTGATAAATTGGGCCAATGTCGGTATGTTTGTTGATTGACCTGAGTGCCAAGCTTCTAAAAATTCTCTAGTGTTCTTTGTGCTCCCTCTATCCAGTATTTCCACATTGTTCCATTCGAATGTATGTCCATAATTATCCGTATGTACTGATATAAATGAAGAAATGTCATGGCGTTTGACTGCTAATTACTGTTCACGTAAACAAAGCTGAAGAGGTCGTCCACTTTGTCCTATGTAGTGTTTTTCACAGTCAGAGCAATTTATTTTGTAGATGATATTTGGTTTTTCTTTATTTGTCATTTTTTCCTTTGGTCTATATAGGATTGCTCAAAGTGATTCTGTTGGTTTGTGTGCCACACCTATTCCAAATGGTTTAAGCAGTTTTGCTGTATGCTTTGATGTCTTTTATGTACAGTAGGATGATCCGTTTATTGGTTCCTGTGCTTGACTTCGCTTCTGATGATGGTTTCGGCTTATGTTTCTTGATGAAGTTGCGTGGTTAGCCATTCTTTTGGGAGATAGTCATAAGATGCTTTTCCTCATTTCTTAATGCTTCATATGTGCTGCAGTGTGTCTTCACTCTCTTGAACAAAGTTTGTGCGCAGTTGATTTTGTGGGTTTTCGGGTTGTTGCTACTGTAGTTGAGAATTAGGTCTGTGTGGGTTGGTTTCCGAAATACTTGAGTTTCCAGTTTGCCTGTGTTAGTTCTGGTAATTAGTACATCCAGGAATGATAGACTGTTGTTTGATTCCTTTTCCGTCGTGAATTTTATGTCATCGAAGACGGTGTTGATCCGATTGTAGATGTTCTCCAGCTTGTTTCTTTTGATAATGACGAATGTGTCTTCTACACAGCGAACCACATTTTTGGCTTGATCACTGGTGAAACAGACGCTTCTAGTCTCTGAATTACAGTTTCGGCGATGAGTCCTGATATTGGTGATCCCATTGGTGTTCTTTTTGTTTGTTCATGGACTCTGTTGTCGAATTGGAAATACGTTGTTAAGCGTAGATCGATGAGTTCTAGTTTCGTATATTCTTAGAGATTTGTATCGTTGGTGAGGAGCAGGGAAAGAGTTTCTTTAGCTAAGCTTGGCTCTATTGAGGTGAATAAGGTTGTTACGTCGAAGGAGATCATCGTTTCGTCGTTGTCGATTTGAATCCCCTTGAGTTTATCCGAGAATGTGGTTGGGACTTTTGTTACTTATGTCCAGCCACCGATTGCTTCGACGGGCGAGGTTTGTTTCATGTACGGGCGGGTTGGAAGTCGTCTAGAGGCGGCCAGAGAAAAACATTGCACAAAACCATGAAGTCATTGACAACTTAACTGAGTCATGTTAGCAGGTGTAAACACAGTGGTTGGGGTCCGTACGACAATTTTGAACTGGTGTTTAGAGACTGAGTGAGATGACTCAAAACTTTGTAATAGCGCAGATGCGTTCATTCTTTGTCTTCCTCTTAGTAATAAGCTTCTGAATTTTTCGACCTTTGTTTTTCAATTTTTTCATCAGTTTTTAATTTTTCGAATCATATTTTCTATGCCTAATCTTTTCCACTACTAATAATCCTGCTATTACATTAACCACTAACAGTTTCATTTCTCTGTGGCAATGTGATATGGCGGCTAGAATTGTTATAAGTTTGTAACATGTTTAATTTTTATCTACACTCCTAACTTGCTACAATTCTCAGCCGTTTTTACTCTGGTAAATTAGAACAAAGGAAACTAGTGTTCTTATAAACTCATTTTTTGTTAGCAGATGTATACTTCGCCTACATTGCTAGTGAATCAGGTTTGTAAAAGTCAATCAAGTGTTCTATATCCGTGACGAGATTTCATCAGACACCACTCCATCATGGTGTTGATGCTCACAAGATAAGTGGCACATTTGACACGCTCGACAAGGTCACTCTTTATCAGTAGTTCAGAAGACATGTGGATTCATCAGAAAATTATTACTCATATACTCATCTAACTAATTTATCACGAATTCATACTTTGCGAGTTTAATGTGAAATATCTAACTTCATACGCAATGGTTTTCTAATTCTATTTTTTCAGCTCAAGATTAGGTTGTCAGGTGAAAGTCTCTGAAAATATGGACGGTATTATTATCAATGTTCCAGGGTCAATATACGATGCACGCGTATAGGATAATGTAAGTTTTTTTTTTAATTGTGTTTTGGTACTTTGGTTGGATTTGATCATTTCAATTTTTAATTGTAAAATAATGTTCTATATTTTTTTGAATTTCTGACATTTCATACATAACTTAATGTAGGTCACTTCTTTAGGGTTAATAAATATGTATGAAGTTATCAAAATCACTTCAAAAAAGTTTAGATAGTTTAAAAAACAGAACACGAAAGTAACCCGCATTTAATTCAATCAAAATCGATCTTATCATGTCAATTGTCAGGTGAATGTTTTTTGACTATATGAGAGATAACTGTGTGCTTTTGTATGTACTATGAAGGATTGTATGTGTTGTGCGATAAATGAACACAGTCATTTGTGGTTTTTTAGATAAATAGTCATAGTTGAGTGGATGGTGAAGCTTTCTTTTTTTTATTGAGGTTAGAGAGATTTAGTATTAGGTAAAACGCTACGGCTAATCGTCTCTCTTTACGGTTTTAGCTTATTTCCTGAGTTATTTTTAAATATGATTTTGGAAAATTATTGAAAATAGCATGAACTGCTTCTGCTGATTTAATTTGTATATTGTCCAGTTCTACGGAGTTATAGTAGTAGAGGTATTAGCTGTAATGGAGAAGATTAGGGTTAGAAGAAATCATTCAAGAAGTATAATTCAGTGGGATAAATTAAGGAAGAGACAGATAGAGTTGATGAGGAATTCAGAAGATTAGATGCATTTGCGCCGTTGCAAACGATTTTTAGCCTTGACATTCCAGGTCTGTAACCATCGGTTACTATCATCTCGCGGGACCCAACTTGGTAGTCTACACCTAACGTCATGGCTCAGTCCATTTGTCAGTGACTTCACGTATTTGTGCCGTGTTTTGATTTAGCCATTCCTACACCATAAAACATAGTTCGTCGGTCGTTAGGCATACATCCCAACCACCTCAACTGATGAAGTTTCACTACTTCATCTATTGATCTGCCATCTTTACCTAGTACCCGTTTCCTAACAACAGCATTGTTTACTCAATAGTCTCAAGATAAACAAGCAATGCTTCGGAGACACCTATGATCGAAAACAGGTAACTTTTCTACTCTCACTGGACATGTTTCCCCACTATATAGTAGGACGGAGCGAACTACTGCACATTACACTCGTCCTTTAGTCAGCAAACGGATATCTCGCCTACGCCATGAGTGAGGCAAGTTGGCAAAATCCAGTTGAGCCTTCTGTATTCGTGCTGAGATTTACTCAATCACCATGCCATTCGCACTGATGAGACTTCCCAGATAAGTGAAGCGGTCAACATGCTTAACTGCTGCACTCCCAATCATTATTTCAGATGCCGACGAAAACGGATCGTGAAGCAACATTTTGCATTTCAAGGGTCAAACTAGCATCTTAAACGTACTTGCATTGTTGCTCAGGGTAGTCAGAAGACTCCGCAATTTTTTCAGTGTCTTCACTATGTAGAACTATGTCATCGGTAAACTCTAAATCAACAAGCGACTACCTTGACAGAAAACAATCAAAATTTCGACACAGAAAGTACATTGAAAGAAACTATTTTTTCTCCGAGTTATTCATTAATTTATATTTCAAAATGTAATGATTTTTCTCTTTAATTGCACTTTGAAAAAAAATGCTTGAAATTTATTTTTATTTATTTTTCTTACTTGTTTTATTTTTATTTCACATTTTAGATTCAGATTCATTGTTCAATGTCAGAGTTTATGCAAACTACACCACCATAGAAAACCTTTAATAACCCTCTAAACTATGTAAACAAAATATCTTCATTCTATTATTCTTAAAGTAACCTTTACCTCATCTAGTCCTGTAATAAATAATACAAATAAATTATTTTAGGTAATTTTTTTCAAATGTGTTCCAATTGTTTTTTTAATTTTTGTATATGTACAATCTAGTTTTTAATTATTTCCGTTGTTTAAAATTTACTTCTCTGTACAATAACAACAACGACATAAAAAAGATTGTTCGTAAATAAAACAACTTAAATAGATGCAAAAGTTTTTGACTTTTACTTTTTCTTTTTAAGTTTAATCTGAACATTGTTATGTTGTTGCTTTGTTTTGGTTTATCGAAGAAAAGTTATGAGTGAATTTATTCATATCACATGAATAAATCGTATTAATATTTGTCTATCGTGATGACCCAACTGAGCTAGCTATATTGTTGTCTGGAATATATGTTCTTGCGCAAGTTCTACTATGCTAGAGGCAGATCAATTGGAGAACGACGAGGACTAAAAGCAGCAACACAAAGTCTGAGGGCGATGTTGTTGAGGTGTGACAGCAGTACGGTGTTTTATCGGACAACCGGAATCTGCAGCGATGCTGCCTTCTGACAAGGAATGAAAGTGTTAGAAAAAGTTGATCCTAAAACAGTCACACCTCATGGATTTCTGTCCTCGGGTGTAAGGTCACTTCAAAGTGGAGCTAATACTTTAAAAGCTCCCCACAAAAAGGCCGTGCGTGACCGGCCTTCCGCGGTGTGGGCAGCCGGAAAGTGACATCCACCATCACACCTGTAACAACACCAGACTGACTGACATAAAATGCAGCTGCTGATGTATTAGTTATGAGGCTTAGCAAACAAATGTGTTGGATATCATATTCTTACTTTACTAAGAATTTATTCAACCTGTCATGCTAAGAACCCACCTGGGCAGCATCATTAATGAGCAAGGTACATCTGATGCAGATGTGAAACTGTGGATTAGCAGAGCAAGAGCAGCATTCCTACAATTGAATAATATCTGTAGCTTAAAACAACTGTCAACCAACACCAAAATCAGAATTGTCAATACAAATGTCAAGACTTTTCTACTATGCGGAACGGAAACCACCAAAGCCATCATCCAGAAGATACAAGTGTTTACAAACAGTTTTATACGCAAAATACTTCGGACCCGTTGGCCAAACACTATCAGCAATAACCTACTGTGTGGTAGAGAAAAAACCAGACTCCAGTGGAGGAACAAACGCTAAAAGTGGATAGGAAACATATTGAGAAAAGCACCCAACTGCGTCACAAGGCAAGCCGCCACTTGGAATCCTCAAGGCCAAAGAAGAAGAAGAGGTAGACCAAAGAACAAACAACGGCCAAAATTGCTAGCAGACTTGAAACGGATGAATGTCAATTGGATAGAATTTGTAAGTAAAGAAGGCCTTATACAAAGTAGGTTGGAGAATATATTGGTCGGCGGCCTATACTCGATCGGAGGTAACATAACCAATTAGAAAACTTCCGTTTGTTTAATAAAACTATGTATTTCTCGTTATATTATATTGAATTAATTTATATTGTACACACTTAGTATATTATTGCTATTATTATTATTATTTCATAGTGTTCTGAATTCTAAGATTGTTGAGAGATTTATTTGTTGCAGTATTTTTGTCTCAATGTCTACTACTTATTTTAATTGGAAGGTGATGGACAAACATGTCAACTATTGTTATCAGCCTTATGAAATGTCTTTCCTACATTAAGCAACTCAAGATAGGGAATTTAAGACATTTCTTATGCAAAGCAGTAACCATTTAGTAATATTATCCAATTACCTAGTCGAAGTTGAAAAATGTGCTTGAATTCTGATTAAAACTTGCCTACTTTTTATAAAGGTAGTCTCTTATATTTTATTTGTAACCATGAATCGATCAATGTTAGACCAACATTAGAAACCTGGAAGCACCGGACGGCCGTTTCGTCCTGGCGTGGGACTCATCAGCATTGCGCATCCACGACTCCTGCACCCCGCGGGATTCGAACCCAGGACCTTCGGAATTGTGCGCGAACGCCCTAACCGTTAGACCACTGAGCCGGTGCCTATCAATCTTCACAACAACCCCGCAATGCAATTACATGTGTCCACTAGTGACCAGCTTGGTGAGGAATCTTCTCTGAGTTCTAGTGGGAAGTCGTGACCAGTGAAGTTCAAACCTGTTCGGATGTAAGCAGGGTATGAGGTTGCGCAACTCCGTGAATCTGATCAAGTTAGACATTAACACCGTTAGATATCGGCTCAGTGGTCTAACGGTTAGGGCGTTCGCGCCCAATACCGGAGGTCCTGGGTTCGGATCCTGCGGGGTGCAGGAGTCTTGGCTGCGCAGTGCTTAGGAGTCCCATACCAGGACGAAACGGCCGTCCAGTGCTTTCAGGCTTCTAATGGTGGTCTAACATTGATCGATTCATGGTTACAAATAAAACTTACCAATCTTCACAACAACCCCGCAAGTCTCTTATCTCTCTTATACTACAATGTTGCCATAATTTTGTCGATAAACACTTTATCGATAAACATATCCCAAGTTTCCACATTTCAATACCTTGTTCAGACAATTCTGTCTGTTTTATCTTAGGTTGAAATGTCGCCTGAAATATCTTTGCAAACATTCGGCAAAAATAGGTCATTCGGTAGGTAAGGGATCCTAAGTTTAGTTGATTTTGAGAAGCTAGAGATCTAAAAGTACTGTATTAAGTTCTAATCCGCACATTCTTTTGATGACTTTTGGACTAAGGTCTGTTACAAACAGAAACAGTTTATCAATAGTTATCAGGCGGTGAATAAACTGCTTGTATCAATCAGTATGCGATGACTCAAAAGATTATTAGGCATAAGACAGTTATGCAAGTTACTACCTTACCAGTCTACGTGCATTGACCAACAGGTTTTAAGGTTGCTGAAGTGATTTACATGTAATCCGAGCCTTTTTTAGGCTACAGGCCAACTCTTTCAACATTTTATGATACCTTGTAAATAAAAATCCTCTGAGTTTTTCAGTTAGTCGACAGTTCACTTTAAGTTCGACTGAATTTATTAAAAAGAGTGCACCACACAGATGTATGGTATAAAGGCATTCGTTAACCATCAAATGCTAAGATCAATTTCCCAAATATTAGAAATCGATCCGATTCTAAATAGTTTTGCTAGTATTAAACTTATTTATAGTTAATCTCTATAATTTTTGTGTTTAGACTATATTTACAATGACATTCTATTAGTTGGTACATTGATTGATTTATCGAATGCCAACCAAATGGTAAATTCGATTTAAAACAATGTGAATTTTTGCGCTGATTGGTCATACATATACACGACCTATTATGCTTCGCTTTAGGTAACAGGTGTGTACGTATGCGGTCACAAACTAATGAATAGTGTTGAATCTCAGTTCTCACAAAATACCAATACGAAAACGTATTTTTTATTCCTTCAAATGTTGCACTAATCTAATCAGATTTTTTTTTCTGTTCAAAAAACCAAACATTCATTATTAATTTTTTTGTTAGACAGCTATAAAACTTCACAAATCAACAAAACCAATCCTAAAGGAGGCGCATGATTTAAAAATTTCAAATCATACTATTCTTGATGGCGATAATAACAATAATAACAATGCAGAAAATGATATTAGTCAACAACAACGTAAAAATAAAAATCTTGCTAAATTGAAAAAATATAGAAAACGTCAATTGAAAAAAAAGTATTCACGTAAACAATTGACAGCAAGAAAGGCATTACAATGGGAACATGAACAACCAGTGAAGCGGGTCAATGAAATACAAGAAGAAGCATTAAATTATTTAAGAATATGGAAAATGAATTATGACCAATGGAAATTTAAAAAACTTTTACAATCTTGGTTAATTAAAAATGTATTGGATAAGGAGATGGTAAGTAAATTATATTGTATACCTACCTACCTACATGTATGTGATAGATGTGAATGACTAGAAAAAATGATGTTTGATTGATTGATTGATTGAGCGTGGATAAACAGTCTATACTGATTTATAAATATGTGATTTCCACTCTGAACACACCAAACCAAAACATGGCAGAAATCCATGAAGTCATTGACGAGTGGACTGAGTCATGTCGGTAGTTGGCGACTACCTGGTTGGGGTCCGCGAGACAAAAGTCACCAATGGTTAGAGACCTTGAACGACATGGCTCAAAATCGTTCGCAATGGCGCCGGTGCATTTATTCTTTGTGTTCTCTCAAATCCTAATCTTCTGGATTCTTCAATACCTCTAGTTTTGACTTTCTAAACTTTTCTCACTGAATCATACTTCTTGAATAATATCTTCTCATCCTAACTTCTTCGATTACTTCTAATACCTTTACTACCTCTACTACTACTATTGGATTTGTATTGACAATTATATCTCTGTGCTGATGTGGTTTGGCAACATGAACTGATGTACTTACGTACGAAGTTCTACATTGCATCTGACTGTCTGACTGACTGACTCTGAACACACTGAGTGTGTTTGCTTGTTATTGTGTGGAATAAAATTTGCATTGAAATTGTGAACTGACTGTTGTTAGACCACTATTAGAAACGTGGGAACACTGGACAGCCATTTTTTCCTAGTATGGGACTCATCAGCAGTACGTATCCACGACTCCCGCACGCGGAAATGGAACCCAGAGTCTTCGGTTTCGCGCGCCAACGCTTTACATCTAGACCAATGAGCAGGCATTTAACGGTGTCAATGGGTGAGGTTGCACAATATCAAGAATTGGTTAAAATTAGACATTAATACTTTTGCATGCCTGGTCAGTGATCTAGAAGATAAGTGTTCACGTGGGAAACCGAGGATTCCTGGTTCGATTCCCTCGTGCGGGAGTCGTGGATACTTACTGCTGATGAGTCCCATACTAGGGAAAAATGCTGTCCACTGCTTCCTTCCAGTTTCCTAATGGTGGTTCAACAATGATCGATCTATAATTTCAATGAAACTCAGTGATCTTCATAACTCCATGGTGAAAAATAAAATATTATCTATCGCTTATACTCGGATTCTCTATTTTGTTCTTGAATCGTGTCTGATTTAACGTGATCTAGAGCGTGTAGTATGCCATATGAGAATGCCGTTCCGTGGCAGTATGAACTCAGTTATCCATCTAGTGCTTCCGTTGTATCAATCAAATACATCCAAGATTAAGTTGTGTGTGTGGTGTTATATGTCTCACATTGTGACTTTCAGTCATCAACAGTTTTTTACATTCGCCTTATATTATCTATCTTTTAATGACCTAAAATGTGTGAAACTTCACATGTATAAAAGTGTCTATCAAATGTTACTGTTTAGACATAAATTCATACAGCACATTATTTTTCATTATTGAATAATAAATTATCTAGTTTAATTTATCCCGACCGAAGCTGCTACCTTGACGTGATGGTCGGGCTTGCCTATTGTGATGACTCAACCGAGCTATAATGGCTGGAACATGTGTTCCCGAAGGTTCTACCATGTCAGGCAGGTCGATTGGAGAACGATGAGACTAAAAACAGCTACTCAAGGTCCGAGGACGAAGTCGTACTGCTAACTGCAGAGGGGTGTGACAGCAGTAAGGTGTTTCCCTCGGACAACCAGCATCTGCAGTGATGCTGCCTTCTCACAAGGAAGGAAGGGTTAGAAAAGGTCGAGCACAAGAATATCAAATCTCACCCTACCTCACGGATTTCCGTCTCCTTGTGTAAGGGTGCCCACTAAGGGCTTTTAAGAGCGGAGCTAACACTCAAAAAACTTCTCATAAAAAAGTCGTGCGTGACCGGCCTACAGCAGTTGTCCCTTGGACTCTGCGGTCACGCAACCAGGTCTCCAAGACCAACACTAATCCATCTTCCTTTTCAGGCTCCTCATGAAACACCCTTTCACGGTGTGGGCATCCGGGAAGTGACAACCGCCCTCATACCCGTAACAGCACGAGAGACAAAAAATTGGTCAAAATCAAATTGAGTTTAATTTATATATAACTTGCTAGTTTTGTAGTTTTTTATAACAGTGTAGCAAAAAAATTTTGTTTACTCAATACACACTTGTTTTCCTATTGAATAGGTTCCTACTCTGGAATTTCGAATATTTAAATGTTATGTTAAAAAGTTGATTGGATCCGCACGACAAGATTTATTGAATCGATGTTCAGCAGTGATTATTGAAGAAGAGGAAAAACATTCAAACACTAATAATGCATTGGACACATGTACAAAACTTGTAAATAAAGAAGATATTTCATCAGAGGAGGTTATTTGTCAACAGAAATCAGGTACATGTTTACCTCGATAATAAATCTTATTTATATATGTTATGAACACTTATGTGACGGCGCAACTTATTTGCGCCTGTTCCTCCCCCAGTGGAGTAACCTCTGTCCTGGGCCGTTTTTTGCTAGTTCTATCCAATTGCTGTTCATTCTTTGCATGTCTGTTGCTTTCTCAGCGTAATGTGTTTGTTCCTTAGTCTTCTTTCTCTGCTTTGGTCTTGAGCATTCCAAGTTAAGGTTTGCCTCGTGAGACAACTAGGTTTTTTCAACAATGTTGTTTCCTATCCACTTCCAGCGCTTTTTTCCTGATTTCTTGCTGAGGTAGAATCTTGCTTGATCTATCCCACAATAGGTGGTTGTTGATGATGTTTGGCTAACGGATCCGAAGTACTTTGCGTAGACAACTGTTTTGAAACAACACTTGTATCTTCCTGATGATGGCTTTCGTGGTTCTCTAAGTTTTCACTTCGAACTGTCATGACGTTTTTTAATAAAAATTCTGATTCGGTTAATAGCTCCAGATGTTCTTCAATTGAAGAAGTGATTTCCTTGCTTTATCAGTCCGTGTTGTCTTTACATTTTTGCATCTGATCCAGTTTGTCTGTCAGTGATGCTGACTATGATGTATCTTCTGGTTGGATGGGGCAACTTGGGTCCAGTGCATACTTGAATGATGAATTAGTTTGATATCAATCATGCTGTGTTTTTTGTTTTCAACTCAGATTGTCAGTAATCAAACCAAACAAAAAAGAACACTTAAAATGTTAACTTAAATTAGAATGATAAAGAAAATTAAAAGTGTAGATAAAGTAGCCATAGAATAGTTGACTTGATATTCAAAATTCTCTTTGAAAGGTTTTTATAAATCTTTACTTTCGTATTAGGAGTGTTAGATGTAAATGCAAATCACAGAATGCGCAATTCTACACCTGTAGTGAAGGAGAACACAGGTGAGGGCAACCGAATTGTATTTAACGAAAATTACAGAGTTACTCAGTAAAATAGGAAAACCATATCGTAACCGTTAATTTGCAAATCTTCAATCCATCATCAATCCATTGTCTGACATTTCACTTATTCATGCGTTTCATACAAATTCCATTGTGTTCCCACTCTTCCTTTCTTGATCTTCCCCCATCCTCTACTGCCAGACATAACATTTACACTCGTGTCATATACTACTTATAAGTAGCGCGCACCACACACTAAGCTCAGACAAACGATTCGTAACTTCCAGATAGTGGATAAAATTCGTAGTTCAGGTGGATGATTATGTTGAAGTTTTTTTTCTCTGAGCTGGATGTTATAGTTGTGTGGCGTCAGATATAACTGAAGTAATTTTGGTTATCGTCCATATATTTTAAGATAATGGAGAAGACCGTTCTATGTTCTCTTGTATCATTCTGTTATAATGCTGCTACGTATAGCTATACAAATCCTACCGACGTCCGAATTCAAATATTCCAATATGACCCAAATACTATTCCCCAAATCTCCTATATATCAGAACACAACGCCGTTAGATGGAATTGTTTATTGGGTCGAGTACAGTAGAGAGGAAGGCAGGAAGGAACATAAAGTCTTACAGACAGTGCGTATTTATACATTTAGGTCAAATAAGAAAGAGCATCGAAGTCTGTGGCATTGACAGTTTAGGACGACCAATAAGAAAGAACATTTAAAATGACATTGACAGTTCGGATGACCAATCAGAGACAAAATTGAAGTAATTTTGACTTTGACAGTTAAAACGACCATATTTTTGACCAATAGGATTATACTTCTAAAAATAGTACTCTTAGGATATTTGATGAATATCCTAACACATTCCTACCTATTTATCGTTGAAGACTTTCAATAAGTGTAATGCGTCTTATTTACCAATTATGAACTAATGCACTGTTTTTTGAATTACATTTTTTGTTAGCGCTACTGATATTATTCGGTTGCTCAGACAAAGTACTTTTTTACTCAGTCAGTTGCAACGTAGAACTTCGTACGTCTGTACATAGGTCATGTTGCCATACCACATTAACACAGAGAGGCAAATGTCAAATCAAATCCCATAGTGAAAAAGATAGTAGAGGTATTAATGGTAATGAAGAAGACTAGGGTTTGAAGATATTATTCAAGAAGTATAATTCAGTGAGATAAGGTTAGAAACACAAAGGTAGAGGTTCTGACGAATCCAGAAGATTAGGATTTGAGAGAGCTCAAAGAATGGATGCACTTGCGCCATTGCAAACGACTTTGAGCCATGTCGTTCAAGGCGGAAAAGTTGTCTAGTGTTGCCTATCGCCACTGTCTTTTCCATCGCTTTTGCTTTCGCCACCCACCACCACTGTTCACGGTCGTTACTTAGGCTTTTTATAAGTCTGCGCCTAAGCTGACTACGCTGTTCATCATGTTTGGAGTCAGGTGGGATGCGTTTTTGAGCAGCCATCAGTTCGGTGGATGCGACTGAAATCCACGGCTTCATCCTAGCCTTCTGGTTTAACGTAATTTTTTTTAAGTGGCTTTCAAATCTAAAACTGATCGATGCTTAAAACTTGGCCATCATCTACCTCACGAAGACTCTGTGATTATCAATAATAATCTTAGCAATGGTATTGTTTCCACAGACGTACTAATCTCTGACAACTTTAAACGTCGATGTATTTGGATTTCATTACTCTGTACAGTTTGATGTAATGGTAATGAAGAAGACTAATATCTTCGAACCCTAGTCTTCTTCATTACCATTAATACCTCTACTATCTTTATCATTATGGGATTTGATTTGATATTTGTGTCTCTGTGCTGATGTGGTCTGTCTACATGAACTTATGTACATATGTACGAAGTTCTACGTTGCAACTGACTGACAGTTTGATGTATGGAGTCTAACCGTTTGAATGTGATCAAGAGTATCATTAAGCATGATCAAACTAAGTTGTAGATTGTTTAATTATGCTTTGAGATGTATTTTATTTGAATTGAAAACTACACAGAGTAGAATGCCAAGAATAAATTAATTTCATGCTGGTTCATTCCCATAAATACTAAATGTAATTTTGATGAAATGTCGCATTATTCACTTACCTGACTGTATTATTTCTCTTCCTTTACAGAATATTCAATTGCTGGAAAACGTGCAAAGAAACTACTTAAAATATTATCACAAACTTCTTGATATTCAATAAATTTCTACAGCATATTATAAAATGACTTGTTTCATTGAATTCCTTTCACGCTTCAATCATTAACACACATTTTAAAATTTTTCAAAATAGGATGTTATTTAAATGAACGTAGAATAAATAGTTCGTAAAGATTTTTTATATAAAGAGGTGAAATGGTATCTCGGTCCTTAAGGTGTTAGATCTGTATCGCCATCAAGTTGCATGTTCATACACTTCGACCTACCTACATTGATTTAAATAGTCAGTTGCAACGTAGAACTTCGTACGTATGTACATCAGTTCATGTCGCCGCCATACCACATTAGCACATAGACGCAAATGTCAAATCAAATCCCATAGTGATAAACATAGTAGAGGTATTAATGGTAATGAAGAAGACTAGGGTTTGAAGATATTATTCAAGAAGTATAATTCAGTGAGATAAGGTTAGAAACACAAAGGTAGAGGTGCTGACGAATCCAGAAGATTAGGATTTGAGAGAGCACAACGAATGGACGCATTTACGCCATTGCAAACGATTTTGAGCCATGTCGTTCAAGGTCTCTAACCATTGGTGATTTTCGTCTCGCGGACCCCAACCAGGTAATCAACAATTACCGACATGGCTCAGTCCACTAGTCAGTAACTTCATGGATTTCTGCCATGTTTTGGTTTGGCCGCCCCTAGCTTTCTTCCAACCTATTCCTACACCACAAAACATAGCTCGTCGAGGCAGTCGGTTGTTAGTCATATGTAATACATGTCCCATCCACCTCAACTGATGAGGTTTCACAACGACAGCATTGCTTACACGGTTGTCCCATGATATACGAGCAATACTTCTTAAACATCTATGATCGAATACTAGTAACCTACGAACATCTTCTACTCTTAACGGCCATGTTTCACAGCCATTTAGGAGAACGGAGCGAACTACTGCGCAGTACATTCGTCCTTTAGTCAGCGAACGGATATCACGCATTCGCCACAAGTGACGCAGGTTGGCAAAAGCCAATCGAGCTTTCTGTATCCGTGCTGAAAGTATACGGATTCGCATCTAGTTGACGAGTTAGTAATATGTATTTTGCAAATAATATACAATACAATTAATAAGAAATTGTAATAACGTGTATTACTGAAATATGGAGCTGAATTCAAGTCAGCAGTCAGACAACAGCATGCGTACATCACATTTTAAGTTGCCGTATTACATTAGCACAGAGATGCAATAGTCAATTCAAACTTCATAATGGTATAGGTAGTGGAAATATAAACAATAATCGGGAAGATTAGCGTCTGAAGATACTATTCAAGGAGTATAGTAATCCAGGTCCCTAGCCATCGGTTACTATTGTCTCGCAGACTCCAACCATGTAGCGTGCATCTACTAAAATGGCTCAGTCCAGTTGTCAGTGGGTGGCTTCATGTGTTTGTGTAGTGTTTTGGTCTGGCTGCCCCTAACTTTCTCTCAATCTAACCCTACACCACAAGTCATCGCTCATCCTGGCGTTCGAGAGGTATATTTCTCCTCCAAAATTTTTAATTTCAATTCAAAACGGACTTAAAATATGATAATACCCTGTCGTTACAAATGACGACAACAAAGTTATTTCTTCTCCTGTCTTTAATATGAAAAATGTAAATGAGGCTGTCGAATAAACAGGACTGCCGCTCATTCCGGAGCACTTGTCTAGACTCAGACCATGCTCTAATGCGAGCGCGTCGTATCTGTTTGAGGCTTACTGGACGTAGGAAAGACACCGCAAGGAAACCTCTTAGGGTTCTACTTAATGATAATAAGGCGAAGAATATATTTCAAGAACAACTAGAAAGACAGTTAGGCGACCATGTAAGCTATTCCCATCCGGAAGCAGGTTGGAATGATATCAAAAAGGCTGTGGAAACAACAGTGATATCTGCTAGTAAAGCTAGAATGAAGCCGTGGATCTCAGTAGCATCTACCGAACTGATGGATACTCGAAAGCTCATCCCGCCTGGCTCTGAGAAGCGGGGTCAGCTTAAGCGCAGGCTGACAAAAAGCCTACGCAATGATCGTGAAAAGTGGTTGGTAGCGAAAGTGAGTGAGATGGAAAAGGCAGCGGTGATAGGCAACTATTCAGACTAATCAACGAGACCGGTATTAGGAACCCGAATGTAATTGAGACTATTTCGGAAAAGGGTGGGGATATTACTCATTCTCAATCCAGGAGATTAGATCGGTGGTCAGAACACTTCAGAGATCAGTTCGACTGGCCTTCACCCACACTTCAATTGCCCACGATCTACAGTCATCCTGAACGGCAAATCGATTTAAATCCTCCTAGTCTCTATGAAGTTGAATAGGCTATAAGAAATCTGAAGCCAGGGAGAGCAGCGGTTCCTGACAGATTGACCCCTGAGACTTTTAAGGATGGTGGTCCAGTTTTAGCAGCTACGTTGGCTGAGATCTTACGTAGAATCTGGGAACTGGACACAAACCCATCTGACTAGTCTCAATCTCCGACTGTCCTAATATATAATAAAGGACAAAAGTCTTCTTGTGAGAATCAAAGGGGAATAAGTCTAACTAATATAGTTTCTAAATTGTTAGCCTCGATTATCCTGAGACGTCTAACTAGAGCTCGTGAAGAGCAGACTCGAGAAAACCAGGCTGGTTTTAGACCTGTACGTGACTGTATAGATCACATTTTCAAACTACGACAGGTCCTAGAACTAAGACACATGTTCAGACGCCTAACAAAAGTAGTAATCCTCGACTTTAAGGCGGCATTCGACTCTGCCGATCGTCAGGTTCTGTGGTAGTGTCTGTTAACAAAAGGTTACCAAAGAAGTACATTAACCTTATACAAGCTCTCTACTCGAACACCACTGGTCGAGTGAGAGCTTATGGCGAACTGTCATCGGAATTCTCTACTTCAAGTGGTGTCCGTCAGGTCAGTTCACTTTCTCCAGTCTTGTTTAACTTTTTCATAGACATACTGCTAGATATAACCTTATCCTCGTCTGAATTTTCAGTAGGCCTTCTACCAGGAGATTCATCGGTTGACTTAGAATATGTCGATGACTTAGTTCCACTTGGTGAAGACGCTGACAAAATGCAGTCTTCTGACTACCCGAAGCAACGATGCAAGCATGTTCGGGATGCAGTTTTCCCACTCGAAATGCAAAATGTTGCTTCAAGATTGGGTCGTATGGGCACCTGAATTAGTGATAGGGAGTGAAGTAGTCGAGCGTGTTGACCGCCTCACTTATCTTGGGAGTCTCATCAGTACCGATTGCCTGGTGACTGCCAAAACCTCAGAACGGATACAGAAAGCCCAACTGACTTTTGCCAACTTGCGTTGCTTATGGCACAGGCGAGATATCCGTTGGCTGACTAAAGAACGAGTGTGCTACGCAGTAGTCCTACTTTATGGCTGTGAAACATGGACAGTCAGAGTAGAAGATATTCATAAGTTACTGGTTTTCGATCGTAGGTGTATCCGAAGCATTGCTCTTGTATTATGGGACAACGGAGTATGCAATGCTGTTGTTAGAAAAGGGGTGCTAGTTAAGGATAGCAGGTGAATAGACGAAGTATTGAAACTTCATCAACTGAGGTTGTTGGGACATGTGTTGCGTATGCCTAACCACTTCTTCGAGCCATATTTTACGGTGGCGCCTGCGAGATGATAACAATCGATGGTTAGAGACCTTGAATAACATCACTGAAAACCGTTCGCAATGGCACAGGTGCATTCATTCTTTGTGTTCTCTCAAATCCTAAACTAGATTCTACGTCCTGAATGATATCTTCTAACCCCAATCATCCTTATTCCTGCTAATATCTTACTACCTCTACTACCATGGGATTTGAATTGACAATTATGCTAATGAGGTATGGCAACATGAACTGATGTACGTACGTACGAAGTTCTACGTTCCTATTGATTGATTGATGATTGAATAAACCAGAAATCATTTAGCGATTCTATCTTTCAAATTCATTCATTCAAATCATTCAAGGTTTCTACATTCAGAAATAGTTTTTTTTCTGAAGGAGTAGTGTGGTGTGAGCTACTTATAAGTAGTATATGACGTGAGTGTCAACGGAATGTCTGGCAGCGGGAGATGGGGAGAGATCAAGAAAGGAAGAGTTAGAAAACAATGGAATTTGTATGAAACGCATGAATAGTGACAATGGATTGATGTTTTGCAACAGGAACAGTTCAGTTCGATAGGATGAACTGATATTTTGAAAATTAACGATATGGTTTTCCTATTTTACTGATTAACTCTGTAATTTTCGTTAAATACAATTCCGTCGCATCACCTGTGTTTTCCTTCAGTACAGTAGTACTCATTAAAAAAGAAACATAAATTCCATAAAAATTATATTACATTGACAAATGCATACATCGATAATGTTTGAAAGCGATAAGAATGTGTAGGCTTTCATGAAACTACACAGTCGATTGTTTAGATATTATTACTATGAAATCATTTATTGCAAACTTTATCTTATTACTCATAATGATTTGAATGTTATCTAAATATTTTGCATTGAACTATTTTATTATTTTCATTGGAAAGTATAAAACAAGAGTAGATAGATATGCAATGATAAAAAGATCACTGTACAACAATTATCGTTGATTATATTTTCGTCGTTTTTTAGCGATACGCGCTTTAATTCGATCACGTGATATTTCTGCACCTTCTTTAGCTAGGTTACGTAAACGATCACTTTCTTGTACTTCAGGTGCTTTTCCTTTGGATCGAAGATAGCGTACCAGATACCTGGTAAATATGATTGTGAAACCGTAACGTAGAGGTGCTGCTAGCTTGTAAAAAACAAGCGCTGTAGCTAAAGTGTTTACAGTACCTCCACCAAAACGAAATGGTTTGGTTATCCATTCAGGTGCATTGAGACTGTTGAGAATATCCAATAAATTGATCCCACTATAATAAAAAAACAGTGTAAAAAGAGAGTTTTTTTATGGGTAGTAGTATCAGTGCAACTACATGAAAATTCTTGTTTCTGTATTGAAGATATATTTAGTATGTAAAGGATACTTATACCATACAATTATATACGCCATAATAATTGAAATATAGTTCGAACAAGCTATGAATTAATACAGACGTTATAGTTAACTTTATTATTATACTTTAAATTAGCACTGTAATCAGTGATGAACAATTTATAAACGTCACCTAGATCAACATAATCGGTAAGTATGGTTATTCTCTAATGTCTAAGACAATATCAAAGTGTTGTTAGTGAAGCTGATATAACTTTTTTCAGGGCTTTTTGTTGTCTAATTTATGTCATAGAATGGGCTATTATAATTTCCAGTTCACAAATAACCCTGAAACTTGAAAATTTTGTTCAACACTCATAAGATCAAAATAAGTAACCAAAAAGCCCTCGAATACTGTTTACACCAAATGATTCATCACATAAGTTGTATGTAGGAAAATAGATGCGAATTAGTGATATAAATTTAGGGTTCATTTTGTCTGAGAAAAGCTGGTTATTATTTTGAAGCCGTACTAGGATGAAAAAAATTATAACATTAGTAGAATATATGAAGACTCATCTTGCAAAGCATTTTTAATTCATCATCTATAAAGAACATCCTCATGAACGAGAGTTGACACCCGATGGACACTTTCTTCAGATAAGTCAATATTAGGTCAGTCTTCAGAGAAAATTTGAGTATCTACTCATCTACAACTGGTTTTATGAGAACTAAGGAGTTAGTATCATTGATAGTTCTTCAAAGTGTACATTTTATTTACTTTACTGCAAAATTGTTGTTTCAGATACAAAAGAGACGCTACATTTTAAACAGATAAATAAAATATTCAACTGAATAAATTATACTAATTTTTTTTAACGTAATGGAATTTCATTTAAAAGCTGACCTCATTTATAACTAACCATAGCCTATAAGAGTCGTAAGCTGAGGTAAACATTACTATGGTTAAGTGTGTTACACGGAAGAAAAATGATCTCACGTGGAAGCCAGTGAATAGAAGATTGCGAACCATACACATGATGACACACCATGCGTCACCAAGACAACTTTGCCATGAATTGCATAAGCATCCTTGAATCTTTTAATCAGACTAGATTTCCTATCGTCCAATTCATTTTTCTTTTCTCCGTTCACATCTGATGGAACATTATCTTTTGACTCAGTAGAAAACTGGGAACAATTTTTGAATGTCAAATAAGTCTGCTGAGATTTGGGGCTTTGTAAATTTTTTGAGAATAAAGAGTATGATATTTGGTTACAAAGAACCGAGGTGAACTTCGAAGTCCTAACACAGGAGAACGACGATGTAGCCAGATGCGCACTAACCCTTAGGAAAACTGTATGACTAGATTTTAAGTAGTGCTGCATGCCGAAAGCTACGGCTTTTTCCATGACATCCAGGCACCTAGCACCATGTAATAACGAGTCGAGAATACATTCCACTATCAAGGTCACCTCAGGTTTTTTGAATGTGCTAGCTAACACAGAGTCTCAATATACACTATATATTTCTTCAGACCTCAATATTAAGAATAAATAGCTAGAGTTACGTGGTCGCAATTTATGGATTTTTTGATATGTTTTGCGTCATTTATGGGGGCCGGAAATAGTGAACTGTTCGGGTTCTAGTTGCAGTTTTTGGGTATTCAATAGACTTAACATCTGTTCATATTAATCGAATTCATAATTGTGTGTTGAGGATCGGATGCTTACAGCGTGTTTTTTCTTCTTCACTTACGTTTTATAGAGTATTTAGTCTTTTCGTGAGTGAGACAGTGGAAGTTAATTACATTATGTCTTCCAAGATTTGATAAATCAGTGTAGAACCTGTGGTTTACGGTATTCTGTTTGTCACTATCAGACCACTTGTTAATCTGCTGTAGGACAGGGCAAAGCGTCCCAAAAGTTTTTAGCCTCTCTGTGTATGATAAACCTCGGAATTCTGCAGCCAATCTCTGAAATTTTTCGGAGATATTCGAGTCGTCTTTTAAACACTTCCAAATTTTGGATCTTATCAATGTTGTGTATGCTATTGTAAACATTCTGTACCGAATTGTCCTATCACCTCCTGTTCGCATGTAAACACAGTAGCGTTAATAAGCCGGAGATGTGTTAAGACTCGCTAACCAGAGCCTCTAAATGAGCATGAAGTGCACTTGCGTCCATATCTCCCGTTATTTTCCGCCAGTTTTTTCCGTCATCACTATATATTAGCATTGACGGTATTCATGACACTTATGAAATTATTTACATATAGTATAACGAGCAAAGTACCTAGAACAGATTTTTGCGAACCGTGATAAGTGACGGTTTCCAGAAGGAACTTCTAGAAACCTGTTCCTACACTTCCCCAAACTAATAAATTGTTGGTCTACTTAAAAGATTTGGGAGTAATCTATTGTTTAGCACTGCATCAAACGTCTACGTACACCTATGAGGCCAGTGGTTTCTTATTATCTGACGACCCCATCTATCTCTCTCTTTCTACAAGAAGATGTGTTGTGCCTGATAATCCTTTTCTGAGATCAAGTTTTTCCATAAAAGTTGACACGTTATTTCTTGTCACGAAGGTCATTATAGTTTTCATTCATATTCCGTCTACTGTTTCATGATTATGTTATTGAAATTAACTAGTCTACAGTTTAATGCAGATTGTTTTGACCCTCTCTTATGAATATAAGTGAAGTTTGTCTCTTTCCAATCCGTACTTAACTCACCTTGACCACCTACTTTCTTGGTCAGCAAAGCAGCAATGCGCTGTGCGAATTTTCTCTAGATTTTCGAGTGTGTAGTTCATCTCGTCCTGTTGATTCTTTCATGCCTGAAACTTTTTCGATCCTCCGTGCTTCGTCTTGGTCCAAGTCAACAGTGATAAGACAATTTGGTGGTTTCTATTTGCAGATAATACTTCCTGAGTGAAAACCGTTCTGAAATATGCTTATATTGGCTTCTGCTTTTCCCTGACACTCCTTGCACATTTAAATGGATCATCCAGTGGTGCGTCCTTGTCCTGACACTGATGTACGAGAACGGTCTCATCAATTATTTGATCTCAGATTGTGTCAACTACTTTTCAAGTATTAAATGAGCTGTTTGAGTTGTACCTAACTAGTTCAAATCACTTTTTAACGTTCACTTGCATTAGTTGTCCTAATGCTGATGGCGATGTATCAACTTATATGTGCAATAAATTTATATAAGTTAACTGCATGATCTCTCTTCCTTAAAGTTGGAATGTTATATGTAGGATTGACATCATTACCGCCATGAGTGAAAGACCAAGTAAAATCCGAGCGGATATCTACTGTTCTGGAGTAAAACTTAAGTGATTGTGGCTCCTTACAGTTTGTAATTCAGTGATTCGTTTAATAAACCTACTCCTATGTATCCTTAGTCTATAGTGCGTTCATCAAAGTCACCTACTTTAGGGCTTTTAAGCTTATTGGACTAAATTTTGTTAACGCGGGGTCATTTACGACACGATCTGGGCTGCGATATTCATTGTCGCACATTTATCAATCGTCAGTGTGCTGATCCACATATCTGTGATTCGTGCGTCACTTTGTCGGAAGTTCGTATGTTTATGGGGTTCTTACGATGCATATAGTGACTCCACCACCCCAAAAGTTTGTCCTATGCAATGCAAAGTAAGAAACTAAGTACTTAGGTTTCCCTATCTAATACTTTGTTCGTTAGCAATGCCTACGAAATAGCAATAATATCAGAATTTTCTGCAGTCACGAAGATTTTGGACCCCTTACTTTTGTTTAGTATGTTACGAGCATTTTCAAAGTATACCATCTACTCTGTGAAACGCTTTTCCGTGCCATCCGGAGTGGTTTGTGTATCGTTTCGTTCCACCTCCACAGCTTGAAAACACTTTGGCATAAAGATTTCCACCTTTCCGATGGCGTCAGTTTATTTATGCTTCTGCAAGTCGTCTTCTGGAACTCCAAACAACTTTCAACCAAAACCAAAATCAGGATTTTCAATACAAATCTCAAGACAGTTCTACTGTATCGAGCGGAAACTTGTGAAACTACCAAAGCCATCATCCAGAAGATACATGTGTTTATGAACAGTTGTCTACGCAAAATACTTCGGATTTGTTGGCCAGACACGATCAGCAACAACTTACTGTGGGAGAGAACAAACCAGATTGCAGTGGAGGAGGAAATCAGGAAGAAGCGGTGGAAGTGCATAGGACACACACTACGTAAAGCACCCAACTGCGTCACGAGACAAGCCCTTACATGAAACGCTCAAGGTCAAAGGAAAAGAGGAAGGCCAAGGAACACACTACGCCGAGAAATAGAGAAAAGTATGAGAAGAATGAACAAGAATTGGACAGAACTGGAGAGGGAAGCCCAGGACAGAGTTGGTTGGCGAAAACTGGTGGGCGGCTTATGCTTCACTTGGGGTGACAGGCGTAAGTAAGTAAGTAAGTAAGTAAGTCGTCTCCTAATCCGATTGAGCACCCTGAAATCAGCACGAACATACATAATAAACGTGGTTGGCTTAAGTAAACTTTACGATATTACATTTCTTTCCTTAGCAGAAGCGGAAGTACATTTTAAGTGGCATTCTGTCTCTATACTCTCAAAATCTGCTCTCGGGTTCATTCTCTATGCTCGAAAGCACTAATCCCTGAGTAGACTGCTTATTAGGGATTTTTCTTACGTTAGATTGCGTGGTCTTTGGTTCCATTTCAAAAGACTCTCCTTACTTGTAAAAAGCAACTGATCCATTCGGGATTACTGTTTTATTATGCTTTGAGATATTGTCTTCCAAGCTTTTCTCATCCTGTAAGTCTGAATTGGCACCACATGTGCAGTTTCGCATAATTCACCAAGTGCTACTGTTAACCAGTCATTCATATTATTTTGTTCCTCAATCAAATGATAACGAATAAGCTTTGCTCCTTTAGAGTCTGTGATGCGTTATCGTGGACCACTCCAGTTGAATCTGTCAGCCCAGACATCGTGGATTACACTCTGATTTGTTCTTAATCACGTTCTGACTCTCATTCTGCGTAAAGTTCCGTTCACCTTTTTTATCACCTTCGCTTTAAGGGTGCGACGTGATGGTTCCTTCGAGAAATTGAGGTGGACCCATAGTAATGCTCTTCTTTTCCGATATCTGACATCTGCGAATCCACTTCTTACTGTTATTTGAATACAGATATGCAGCGGATTTAGCTGCTCAATAGCCATACAAATTAGTGAGGATTTTGTAATGTTTTCATCCAGCTTGACGCTCTTTTGCAGAACCACTTATATGCAGTCAGTGAGACTACGATACATAAGTTGTAATACTAATTTATACGGTTGTCACACCGCACTTCAATCTCAGCTGAAAAAGGCTACTTTGGAGTTTCAGATGTCTTTCATTTATGGAAATACCACTCTCATTTATCAATCCACGTCCTTAAATCTTCATCAGAACCACCGCATTTGCCAAAAATGCAACATCATCTTAAGCTTTCCATCAAGGTTGTCTTGACTGGTACAAGTTTTGTTTTTCAAAGGATCTTGCTTTTACTGTTATGTATTCTGAAACCCAGTGCTGCTGCAATGGTCGTCTCTGTCTACAATGTTGCGTACGTGATATGCGATCTAGATCATCTGGGAAGGCAAGATCGTCCAGCTGCATCTAAGGTGTCCATTTTACTCCATGCATCCCTTGAGATTTTGACGTTTTCATAACCCATTCGATCAACAAGTGAAAGAGAATGGAGATTGTAAGCAAAGTTGCCTTTATATGTAGTGGTCTGTACGAATTTTCATTTGCTTTACCAATGCTCTGTCTAATTGACCTGTTTGAAACTTTTAGGAGTTCAACTTAATCAGTAAACAGAACGAAGAGCTTTGGCTCAGTGACATGATAGGCTATTCTAACCCGTTTGTCCCAGGCCCTGATGTTTAGATCAAGAAGTCTTGATAAAGCGTAGTGATTGTATTCTGAAAGCATCCTGAGAATTCGAGCTTGCTAAGCACATTAATCAAGCTTATCTATACAATGTTAGCAACGCAATTGGATGAACCAAAAAATACCATTCGAAAATATTCCACCAACCGATGATAGTCAAGGATTTTTCGAGCGAGAAATGTAAGCTGAAGGTTAGCTAAGCGTCTCTGGCTCAAAAAATATCAAACTTCAAAATTTCATGATAAAATTACAAAATCATGGTGTAAATGTACTATCAGAAACAGATTCATATGTTTAATCTGAGAGTAAGTGTGGTATCATTTACAACTTGTTGATTTTAGCTGTAAACTGGCATGCCTTTTATAACGCGCCTTTATTCGATAACGAATTTATCATTACTAATAAATCTTTCATTCTGTTTAAAAACACTTCTTTGAAGACCTTTACTGGTACTAGTAGAAGAGTGATGCTTCTGAAATTCTTGAACTTACTGAGGCCTCCAGTCTCTCGTATCGTTATCAGCTGATCATCCTTTCAGTCTGT